GTTCTTCATTTCCTTTCTTTTTTTGAATATTTTTGTAGTAGTTTATCTCCTTTAGCTTATGAGGTATACTGTTTCTTATATTTTTTAATGGTTTCTCTAAAGTTTATAGTATGTTTAACTTTTAACAGTCTATCTTTAGATCATATAATACCACTTTATAACAGAAGAATCTCATAACATACTTACATTTTCCTCTTTTATTATTTGTGTTTTTGCTGTCATGTATATTTATTGTTATAATCACCGTAAAGCATTGCTACTATTTTTCCTTAAAATAGAAAATTATCTTTTAAAGAAACTAGAAACAAGAAAGCAAATTATTTTTTATATTCATGTACCCATTCACCATTTCTCACAATACTCCTCCCTTTTTCATTTGTTTCTTTGTCTGTCTGTCTGTCTGTCTATTTATTTATTTATTGAGACAGAGTTTTGCTCTGTTTCCCAAGCTGGAGTGCAGTGGTGCAGTCATAGCTCACTGCAGCTTCAGATTCCTGGGCTCAAGAGATCCTCTCCCGTCAGCCTCCTGAGTAGCTGGGACTAGAGGCATGCATCACCATGCCTGGTTAATGTTTTTGTTTTCTAAAAATTTTATTTTTGAAAGCAACCAGGTTTCACTGTGTTGCCCAGACTGGCCTCAAACTCCTAAAGTCAAATGATCCTTCTACCACAGCCTCCCAAAGTGCTGGCATTGCAGGTGTGAACTACCATGCCCACCTCTATCCTTTTGTAGATTAGAGTTTTTATGTAGTATAATATTCCTTCAGCCTGAAGAACTTCCTTTTATAATTTCCTACAGTACAGGTCTGCTTGTAAAAAATTATCTCCACTTTATTCTATCTGAAAATGCCTTTATTTTGACTTTAATTTTGTATATTTCTCAATTGATAGCTTTCTTGTTTATCATCTTAAAGATACTATCCTATTGTCTTCTGGTTTGCATTCTTGCTTATGAGAAATTGCTGATCTTTCTCTTTATGTAATATGTCTTTGTTTCTCTGTCTGTTCTCAAGATTTTCTCTGTTTCTTGTTTTCAGCAATGTTAACTGTGGTGTGCCTTGATGTGGTGGTGTACTTTTTTCTGCTTAGAAATTGCTAACCTTCTTATATTTGTGGGTTTATAGTTTACAAATTTGGAACATTTTTAGTCTTATGTCTTTATATATTTTTTCTCCTCCTCCTTTGGGATTCCAGTTATACATTTATCAGGGTGCATATTGTCTAGTAGGTCACTAAGATGCTAATCTCTCTTTCTTCATCATGCTTTTTTCCCCTCTGCTTCAGTTGTATTTTGGGGGGTGCTACCAAATACTTTGGTGTTTTGTTCTTCTCTTGGCTCATCTATTGTTATGTCCATCCCCTTACTTGCTTTGTGGTCCTTCTAAACCGCCTCTCAGTAGACAGCCAGGGTGATTATAGGATTCACCTCGTTTGTTTTTTTTCTCTCTAAGATCACAGTCTTGTACTGCCTGTGGTACAGTTGTGTCTTAACATACTTTTTTTTCAGTTTTCTAATTTTATATGGTAGGAAAACAAATTTAGTCTGTTTACTCTTATGTCCAAAAATAGAATTTTTTTCTTTTCATATGTTCACGTATACTTAAATACATTGTATATGCCTATAGCTATACTAAAATTAATTTACATTTCAAATCATTTACATCTATCTCTATGAATAAATCTGCCAATTGCAAACTAAATAAAAAGTTTAATTTCTCAATTTATCAGGATTTTAATTGTGTTGTCTATAATGACCCTTTTTAAGCAAGTCAGTAAAGAGAAAACTATTTCAGTAGATTCAGGTTTTCTTTAACAGCCTACGTGTGCTGCTAAAAATGCAGTTTTGTTTTGGTATAAGTTAGTGTAGCATCCCTGACTTTATAAGCAAGTTGGTGCATGTTTATGTGTCTTCTGTTTTTGTAAAAGACTTGCTAATTTTTGTTGTCTTAGTCTCTTCATAGTCAGAAAAAGTATCGGATATTTTATTAGCTTAGCCTTGAGGAGAGTTCTGCAGTAAAACTGCCAGTTTTCAAAAATGGGGGAGAAAATAGTAAGAATTACTGGCTGGCACTTTTATTTCACAAGTAAAAAATAACCTGGTAAGCCAGCACTTATTCATAGTAGGCTCTAGCGGACCACATCTACAGCTCGGAATCACCAGTCATCCAAAATGCAATCAAGAATCATTGAAGACTTACATTAATAACCTTGTATATACCATTTCCAGATCTCTATGCTTGAAAAAATATCTGGCTTTTTCTTTTCCATGCCAAAAAAAAAAAAAAATTCATCTTAAGCCAATATCTAGCTATATGATAGTTTAATTCTAAATAACTTTTTTGTAATCATATTGTCTTTGGGGAGAGGGGATGTACTGAGCTATTATTTTTCTTTAATTGAATTCAATTTTTCATTTTTTTTCTTCAACTTTCAATAGTTTTGAGTGTTTATGAGAATTTTTAGGATACCACGTCACTTACATTTCAGTCTTAAAAGACCATTCAAACTGGCGTTCATTTCATATGTTGACTTTTATTTTTTAAAATGAGGTATTTACCTGTTTCTACAGTAAATAGTGTTAAGAGTTAACACTCGGATAGCATCTAGTATGACATCATATATTAATGCCACAATAGTCCTGACATTACAATAAGACAGCATTTATTCATGGTGGATAGTTATCAGATGTCTTCCTTCTTGGGTTTAGAGTGGTAATCATTCATATTTTAAACCCCTCTTATGTGGTAATCCAACTAGATTATCTTATTTATATTGGGCCTAATTTTTCATACTGTGAGATAATATACCACACTTTTCCTAAGTGTGAGTTACGTAATTTATAATCTGTGTAACTGCGAGAAGTGAATTTCCTGCTTATCCACAGGTGAATCCTCCTCTTCACCAGGTCTCTCTGCATTCTTCTTTTATATTAAAAGGTGACTAGACCCAAAATGGCAGAAGGAGATGGAGCTTTTGGCTGTAAATTTTTCACTCTCCAGTCATTACTTGTTCTCATTGCAGAGGGAGCAGTTCTTGATAGCTGCAGCATTTAGTGGCGGTAGCTGTTGGCAGTAGCTTTCTTGCAGACCAGAGTCTTTCCCCTCCTTAAATGGCAACTAGGTTGATCAGTGAGACTTTCAACTGCTTTTCCAGATGATGTTTACAGGATAATTATTTCTGGGTCACTAGTGGCAGTTCTGATACCATACAACTTGTTTAAAGTTCCTGCTAAAAAGAAATCCATATTTCACCACACAGTACCTCTTGCTGTTTTCTGAGGCCAGCATAGAAATTCTGTCTTTTGACCAACTCAGGGTGAGTTATGATATTCCTAAAGGGTATCCAAAACCTATTCCAACCACTTTCTTCATTCAGGTCGCTAAAGAATAAATAAATACCATATTTATCTTCCTTTCCCCTCACCCCCACCTCCCCACCCCCAATACAGATCTATTGAGTTGGTATACATTAAGTCCTAGAAATAGCCCAAAATATTCCAAAGGTGATATTTAAATTATTTTAATAGTGAGTACTGTAGTACGCATGTTACTTTTTTTTTTTTTTTTTTTTTTTGAGACGGAGACACCCTCTGTTGCCAGGCTGAAGTACAGTGGCGCAATCTCGGCTCACTACAGCCTCTGCCGTTCTAGTGATTCTCCTGCCTCAGCCTCCTGAGTAACTGAGACTACAGGCATGTGCCACCACAGCCAGCTTTTTATTTTTTTTATTTTAGTAGAAACGGGGTTTCACCATGTTGGCCATGATGGTCTCGAACTCCTGATCTCGGGTGATCCACCCATCTCAGCCTCCCAAAGTGCTGGGATTACAGGCGTGAGCCACCACACCCAGCCGATACTATTTTCCTGTATGCCATTAGTGACAAGATGCACAGTTTTGAAGAGCAGCTTTATTATAAGTGAAAGGGAAAATTTAAAAATGGAAATGTATGAGTTTGTAAAGCACAACTTGCATATATCAGAGAAACTAAAGTTTAACCCAGCTTAGCTGAAGTAACTTTTCTAACATACAAGCCAAGAGTTTTCTTTCTTCTTCTCATTGCTTTGTCATGAAGCCTGAAGGATATTTAGGTAGATCCTGTCCTTCATTCAAGGTAGACGACTTTATCTGTTTCTCATGGCTGTTATTTGGACTTCGTTTTTCTCTCTGCCACCTTGCCTTACCTCTATGGCAGTTTAAGTCTGTTTACCTCCTCTTAGCTGCCTACCATGGAAAGCGAAAGATTCCAACACTTCCAAGTTCCAGAGCCCTATTAGATGCCCAGTTTCCTGCAGGATGCATGTCCCCACTCTTCCTCCTTTTCTGAGATTCTTTCTAGTAAACTCATTCCCACCCTTTATACTTTCCAGAGAAATGTTTTTTCCTTGGCTTAGGATAGAAAAATACTTCACCACATATATTCTCATCCAAGTAATCACCAAGGTTATTAAAAATTCATGTGCTGAATGATAGAATAATTAAAAAGAAAGATAACTGTTTTTCCCAGAGGAATATTTACATTTTCTTGTTTTCCTAATACAGAATGTTCATCCACAGAGATTTGTGCCAAGGGTGTTGGCAGGATTTATATCAATTACTGGTATTTTATGGGAGAAAATAAAAGAAGAAGGAGTGTTCTGGGGAAGCAGTTATCCACTTTGTTTTCCACAACTTACTTTTTTTCATTTTATTTCAGTCTTTGTTTCTTTTGGCTTTTCTTTCATTGGCAGTCTTTTTCCCTTTTATTTATTTATTTATTTTTTACATTTAAAAGTGTCCTACTCTGCTTCTAACTTTATTCTTTTAAACTAAAACTTACTCCTCAAAATACGGGGTCTTATGTTTAAAGTATAGTTAAAAGCATGTTAAAATTGTCTCTTCATGTTAGATTCAATTGGTGTCTTAGGGTGAAGTGAAGAAAGAAGGATGAAGAGGAAATTATTTCTTGGATTGCTCTCCAGTAAATCCTTCTGTATACTTTAAAAGTTCTTGTTCTTTTCTAGGAATCCAATGTGCTGATTGCTGCTAACAGTCAGGGTACAATTAAGGTAAGCTATTTAATATATCCCCATTTTAAACTCAGACCCATTTCTAGATGGAAACAGGATTATGGAAATATACCACTGTACTGAACCTTAGAGGTGATCCCAAATCATGGGTCTGTGTCTCCTTACAAATGGCTTGATTTAAGGAAAAAGAATAGGTAGCTTACATCTATGGAGAAGATGATATTACTTGTTGAGGTTGTATGGATGCTGGGTGGATTAATAGATGGTCACATTGAAAAACAGATGAAGACTACCGAGCATTCACTGTGAGCTAAGCACGATTTAGCTTCTATTATGCCAATACAGCTATCCCACAGGGCTTTCAGTAGACAGAGCCCAAGATACACCAAGAGATACAAATACAGCAGAAGATGCTTAGACATCACCAGATTTAAACATATCTCCGTCTTATTTTAATTCTCTTCCTCATGGTTCTTTTTCCTCTCTTCCCTGACAAGTGGGTTTTTGCTCAGTTGTCAGAGCGGAAGAAAAGTTATTTTAGTGTTCAATTGCAAATTGATAGATGTGATTCAAGGAAGCCTGTTCATACGAAAAAGAAAGAAAGAAAATCGACTGATGCATATATAGCACTTGTAGCACTTGTGGTTGATACACTGGACAAATAAATCCTGACTAGCATTTATTCTGAGAGAACCTGCTTTTTTCCACATATCCTCTCCAGATAATCTTAATGTGGTAGAAACATTAAGTTTTTTAACATGATGTGTGTGTTTCCCCTACCATGTAGCATTAATTTTGCCATAGCTTCCTTAGACTCATCATGTGGAGAAGGATCCAAGGCAGCAAATCCTAGCCTAAACGTTGTTCTACAGAGATGAAATGAGCAAACTTAATGCAGAAGAACTGCACTAATTTACGTGGTAGTCTCGTTTTTTAGGCAGCTAGTTTCTCTATTTGAAAAGCCTTTTTAGAGAACCACTGAGAGCTTAAATGAAAACAAGGTTTTTGGGCCAGGCGTGGTGGCTCAAGCCTGTAATCCCAGCACTTTGGGAGGCTGAGGCAGGTGGATCACGAGGTCGAGAGATCGAGACCATCCTGGTCAACATGGTGAAACCCCGTCTCTACTAAAAATACAAAAATTAGCTGGGCATGGTGGCACGTGCCTGTAATCCCAGCTACTCAAGAGGCTGAGGCAGGAGAATTGCTTGAACCCAGGAGGCGGAAGTTGCGGTGAGCCGAGATCGCGCCATTGCACTCCAGCCTGGGTAACAAGAAGGAAACTCCGCCTCAAAAAAAAAAAAAAGAAAACAAGGTTTTTGGGTGTTTATTTATTTATTATTTTTTGAGATGGAGTTTTGCTCTTGTTGCCCAGGCTGGAGTGCAATGGTGGGATCTCAACCTACCAGAACCTCCGCTTCCCTGGTTCAAGTGATTCTCCTTCCTCAGCCTCCTGAAAACAAGGTTTTTAAACTGATCAATGTTTGTTATGTTCTGGAAGCCTCAAGCAAGATGGTAGAAGGTCTTGGAATATCTACGTGGCTTTCTGTAGTCTCTCAGTATCTCTCTTATTCTCATGTCAAGGCATGAATTGAAAAGGTACACCTTACTCTTCAACAAATTTAGCCTTTGCGGCAATTGGGATTGCTAACATACCTGCAAGAGCGCAAAACTACATAGGTTCTCATAGAATCCCACTGACAAATCTAAGATTTTGTTAAGCATCATTGACCTCTTACGTTAAGTAGCCTGCTTAGCTAATATAAAGACAAAAGCATTATGGAAGCACAAGGGAAGCACACATTCCCCTTAGCTGAGCAGCAGGGGAAAAGTTGCACATTTAAATATTTGCTACTTAGTGTTGTAGTGTCCATATAATGTAATTCTTTTTGACAGTGTCTCGTAACTATCTTCTTGTTCTATGATCTTTCTTAGCTGCTTGCTTCCTTAGTTTTAGCAGTATCACAGCTTACTTTTTATGACAATATACTGCTTTAATTCTAAAAATACAAAGTATCTGTATACCATATGATTGACTAGAAATGAATGAAGCTGCAAGAAAAGGCAAGACTTCAGGTCCCGTATAACTTGATAATTATAAACAGTGTTAATTGATGGAAGAAGTAAACAGATTAAAATCCTAAACAAGGATACTTAAAACTTTTGTAAGAATGTGGAAAGATTCCAACATATGTGCCAAAAATGTTATATTTGTGCTATGCATCAGCCGATTTATTTTTCCATATGTTTTATGTAGTTTACCTTGAAGGCTCCCAAGTTAACTCTGGAGATAGCTAATCTTAAAGAGTGCATGCAGCTGTTGAACTGAAAGTCAGAAAGGATTAATGTCCAATTCATTCAGATTATTTGGCATTTTCCCAGTTGGGAAACTTTTAAAAATTTTATTCTCTGTTGGTAAATAAATATTCATTAAATTCCTTTTACATCTTATTTTACTAAATGGATTCTTTTTTCCTTCCAATTAGGTGCTAGAATTGGTATGAAGGGTTTACTCAAGTCAAATTGTACTTTATCCTGCTGAAATACATCTGCAGCTGACAATGAGAGAAGAAACAGAAAATGTCATGTGATGTCTCTCCCCAAAGTCATGGATTTTTGATTTATTTTGAATATTTTTTCTTTTTCTCTTTTCCCTTCTTTATGACCTTTGGGACATTGGGAATACCCAGCCAACTCTCCACCATCAATGTAACTCCATGGACATTGCTGCTCTTGGTGGTGTGGTTATCTAATTTTTGTGATAGGGAAACAAATTCTTTTGAATAAAAATAAATTTAAAAAACAATAAAAGTTTACTGAGCCACAGCTGAGCTTGGAAAGTTTTTGTCAGATGCAGCAAGAGATAAGTCTTTTTAAGAAGTAGCATATGTGAACTAATAATTTGTAACGTTTCTGTTTCCCTACCTCTTTGGAATTATGCATGTCAATGTAAACAAAATATAAAGTATATAGATTCCTGCCAGTGAATTTAATGTTTGCACTAGATGAAAATATTACTTTATAAAATCTTTTCTTCCTTCTCTGACCAGATTTATATCATCAGCAAGTACCATGCTTTCCAATCTCTCTAAATCTGGCCAAGGATCTAAAATTTTGACCTGTTGAGACCACATTTAAACAGAAAGAGAATGTTAGTCTCTGACAGCTAGTTCTGTCTTTGCCTTTGAAATGTTACATAAACATTCCATAAGCCCTAAATGTATTCTAAGTCAACTAGTCATTGCTTTTAGTACCATCCTAGACTGAGTGATGACTTGGATCAGGAGTCAGTAAACTTTTTCTGTAAAGGGCCAGATTTATTTTAGGTTTTACAGGTCTTATGATCAGTGTCACAACTGTTCAGTTCTGCTAGTATAGCAGGAAGGCAGCCACAGACATATGTGAACAAATGTGCATGGCTGGGAAGTAGGCAGAGGGTCAGATTTGGCTCACAGACTATAGTTCAACAGCCTCTGACTTAGAAGAAAGTGATTTAAAGCCCTGTTATACAATTTCCAAGCCACATAGTCACTTAGATTGTCCAGTTAATTTTTATAAATTGTTTTCAAATTTTCAAAGGAAAGAAGATCAGCAGCAAGTCAAGCAAAAGTAATGTAAAGAGCTGCTTTAAAAGTTAACAGACTTATACATCACACATTTTATAAATAAACACTTGGAGAAGTTTGGTTGAATAACGATAATACATGATGAGGGTAATCAGAATATCCCAATGTGTTCTTCCACTCAAGATTACTGAAACCTGTTACAGGTTCATATCTTCATATCTGACACACTTGGAGCCAAATGTATTTTAGAACTTAGAAATTTTCAAGTATGGCCAAGTGCAGTTCCTCATGCCCGTAATCCCAGTACTTTTGGAGGCCAAGGCAGGCAGATCACTTGAGACCAGGAGTTTGAGACCAGCCTGGCCAACATGATGAAACCCTGTCTCTACTAAACATACAGAAATTAGCCAGGCGTGGTGGTGGGCACCTGTAATCCTAGCTACTTGGGAGGCTGAGATGGAAGAATCACTCAAGCCCAGGAGGCAGAGGTTTCAGTGAGCCAAGATCACGTCACTGCACTCCAGCCTGGACAACAAAGACTCTGTCTTAGGGAAAAAAAAAAAAAATTCAAGTATTGGAAAACTAATAGAGTACATATACTAAATATTATGTAACATCAGAGTCTAGAGCAATAGTCCATAAGCAGATACAATACTGTGTAGCACAATGTGTGAATGTTCACATTACATGGGATTAATTAATGGCCAAAAAGTTTTGTGTCAGTGCAAGATGTAGTTTTACCACCAAACCAGTTCCTCAAACTCATGTGAATTTTTTTTTTTTTCCCCCCTAGCTTTCAGATCAAGAACAGCACATCTTGGTTTTGTGAGTAAAGACCTGATAAACTTTTGGACTCAATTTTGAGAGGAAAAGCTGGTACCATTCAAAAATTACAGGTCACCAACCAGAGCGAGATTAGTTGAACATTGTTTCCAAGATTAATGAAGGACCTTTTGCAAAGATGTAGAAAGAATGTTCAAATGTAGAAAATCCTCCAAATCTGAAGCAGAGAGTTAATGCCTCCTGAATGCATTTAAGTAGAAGCATATTATTATGATTATTTTATTTGGTCTCACTTTTTAAATGTTTATTTCAAACTGTCTCAATTAGGGGACCATTTAACGTCTATATGTTTGTAAAAATACAATAAGGTACATTTCGTTATCAAATGGATTCAGTTTTTAATTATTTTAAGAAGGCAGTGCTTCATTTAAGTTTTTTTCTAATTTTGTAAATAGCATTTTTAAATTTGAGATCATCTCTGCAGGATGTCAAGATCAAACTAATATTACTACTTGCACAAATAGCATGCTGTTATAAAATAACTTAAAGGTAGTATACATTTTAACACCAAAAAACTCCTCACTCAGTCACTGTGGGTTGTGAGAATTTTCAGATTTAATCTTTACTTAAGTGGACTTATAGGGGTTTCTCAGAGATTAAAGATGGAACAATTTTTTTTTTTTTTTTTAATAGACATGGGGTCTTTGTTGCCCAGGCTGATCTTGAGCTCCTGTCCTCAAGCAGTCCTCCTGCCTCAGCCACCCAAAGAGGTGGGGTTATAGGTGTGAACCACCATGCCAGCCCAAGCTTGAAGAATTTTTTTTGACACAAGGTCTTGCACTGTCTCCTGGGCTAGAGTGCAGTGGTACAATCATAGCTCATTACTTGCTCATAAACTCCTTGGGGCTCAAGTAGTCCTCTTGCCTTGTAGAGACAGGGTCTCGCTATGTTGCCTATACTGGTCTACAACTCCTTGGCCTCCCAAAGTACTGAGAGTATAGACATGAGCCACTGCACCCAGCCACAACTGGAGAATTTTATGAAGTTTTTATAAGAAGACTGAAGTATTAAATATCAAAAAAACTTACAGGACTGTGCTACGACTTCAGAAAGATTACCCTGGACAATGAAGAAAGAAGTGGAGGAGCCCAGTACAATTGAGCCTTCTAGAACATAACTGAGACAAATTTGAATTTGGTCATAAAAGCAGTTAAAGGGAGGGTCGAAAGGGGATGGCATGATTGAATTTATGGTAAATGGATAGATGGGGGCAAGAGTTATGGGGACTTGGAGTAAGGTTGCAGCATAATCCAAACTAAAAGATTGTTTCAGCTAGTAGAGTTCACCACAGTCTTAATTCTTAATCGTGGAAGATTCTTAATTTTTAAAGTAATTGTCTTGTAAGTTGTGACAACAAATAATGTAACTCAGTAAATTTTTTTCTTTGGTGGTTATACAGTCTTCAGCCAGCAGTAAGTCACTTGGGAAACTCACAGTCAAAATGCTTGTGAGCTATTTTGCGGGGACCAGTTTTCTAAGTCAGCAGATCTACAAACTCTTCAGCCCTGGTCTTAAATATAAAAATAAGTACTCATTGCCTTTAATACAATTATGCAAATGAAACTGGGATCAATGGAAGTCTATGTACTTAGAAATGAAACATTAGGAGGTGCTACCTTAGATCCTGAGCCTATTAGGTTGCATGGCTAACATTAACACTTTACCAACTGTAGAAATTTGTTGGTCCTCCCAGAACAGTTAGCTCACAAACCCACATGTGGTTTCTGGTTAATGTATTAGGCACTTCTGCACTCGGACTGAAGAGAAAATCATTGTGATATTTTAGAAATACGTGTTGAGCTCCCACTTTGTACAGGGAACTGTGTACGATGTATACAGGGTATAAGTACCGTGATAGACATAATCTTTTAGTGTACACTGGAAAAACAGAGTAGGGAGATTGAGGGCTAGGAGTAGAGGCAATTTTCAGGATTTGTGTGTGTGTGTGTGTGTGTGTGTGTGTGTGTGTGTGTGTGTGTGACAGAGAGAGAGAGAGAGAGAGGGAATTAAGCTATAAGAGGCAAAAGAACGTCTAAGACCAATGGAAGCAAATTTTTAAAGTCTGAGTAGCTCCCATGACCAAATATGGAACAATTGGAACACAAAACAAAGTAACAGAATTATAATTCAAAGTATAAAATATCTGTGAATTCATGTTAATAAAAACAAATGATTGAATAAATATATAGAGAAAAGACAAATTTTCCATGAAGAATTCCAAATAATTTATATGATAAAGAAATGGAGCATAACTTTCCACTCCTTAAGTATGGTCTGTAGTGAGTTCTGTCCCAAAGAGTACAATATGGAAAAGGAGAAAAAAGTCAATTTACAATGGAGAAGGCTTACAAATAATACCTTGGACAGGTGATCAAGGTCAGCATCGAAAGTGGTAAGTCATGTTGATAGTATATACTCTCATGCCGGGTGTGGTGGCTCACGCCTGTAATCCTAGCACTTTGGGATGCTGAGGTGGGTGGATCACCTGAGGTCAGGAGTTCAAGACTAGCCTGGCCATCATGGTGAAACCCCATCTTAAAAAAAAAAAAAAAAAAAAAAAAAAAAAAGAGTCAGATAGTATATACTCCTGATACAATGTAGTGAAAAATGGCATTTTGACTCTGATCTTTCATCCAAAAAAACCCCATAACCCCAGTCTGAGAAAAAAAAAAAAACAGATTAATCCCTGTTGAGAGACAACCTACTATAGCAGGGGTCTCCTGAGTCTGACCTGCAGACTCTGGCCGAGCAATAGATGAAAGGAGATGACAGACACAGGTGTTTTGCCTGTGAGAGTGCTGCTAGGGGACCTCATGGCTTACAGACCCCACAGAGGGAGCCCGGCTGTGCAGCCCCTATATGCCAGAGATGCTTGTATTTATTTTAGAACAAATTTAATGGCAAACATCTCCAGCAAACACCATTTGTGGGTAATTAACATTGCTGAACCTCAAGTAGAGAGCCATGGTAAGGTTTGATGTGTCGTGCTGGAATCCAAAGAGGGCCTGAGGGGCTGTGAATACAAGTATATCCTCTTCCCCATGTTAGCAAATCATTGGGACCACACCATACATTACTACTCACATCTTTCCAAAAAACTGTGGGTTTTATATCTTGAGAGGTTTTAGCAAAGTACTTTCTATAGCTGATTGGAATTTGTCATCTAAATTTAAGAAATTAAGAGTAAATAAGGCTCATGCTAGTAGTGTTGCAGGGTCCTTACTCACATTCCCCCTTTTTTATTTTCTGAGAAAAGCATTAAAACATCAGATACGGGGAAATTTTAATAATCATTTAAGGTTGTGATTAAATGATAAAGTGATTTTGATAATCATTTAAGGTATGTAAGTTGCTAGTATTTATTTGAGATCTTACTGTTAGTGTGTATCCAAGATATTTCCAAAGAGAGGACATTTG